GCTATGATACCCCTAACAGGTTTGCCTCAGTGGATAGAGCATCGGCCTACAGACTCAAGGGTCCCAGGTTCGATTCTGGTCAAGGGCATGTATGTTGGCTGCTGGCACATCCCCAGTAAGGGGTGTGCAGGAGGCAGCTGATCGATGTTTCTCTCTCATCGATGTTTATAACTATCCCTCTCCCTTCCTCTCTTAAAAAAATCAATAAAATATATTTTAAAAAAACAAAAATTAAAAGGCTGTGGTTTTGGTTTTATTTTTTTCCAATTCTCTTGTCAAGATATATACCCACAAAATAGTGTGTGAAGGGAAACTCATACATAACAAGTTGTCTCCTGAATTAAGGGAAATGGCTGTTGAAACAGGAATTAACAAAGTCAGCAACAGATTAATAATTTTTTATTTATTTTTTAAAATATATTTTTATTGATTTCAGAGAGGAAAGGAGAGGGAGAGATAGGAAACATCAATGATGAGAACCACCGATCGGTTGCCTCCTGCACGCCCCCTACTGGGGACCAAGCCCACAACCCAGGCATGTGCCCTTGACCGGAATCGAATCCAGATCCTTCAGTCCGCAGGCTGACGCTGTATCCACTGAGCCAAACCAGCTGGGGCTAATTTTTAAAAGCTGAGTCTTCAAATACTGCATGGCACAGTGCTATTCTATATAAAGTACTGCTGGATATGAAGGTGGAAGTTTATAGATTTTAGTAAAAATGCTTTTCCAAGAAAGCAAATCAAAGCAACACAACCAGCAGATCAAGGAGGTTATCAGAATGTCAACATTTCATATTTGTTATAGAAAATTCTTTTTATCCAGAATGGACTAAAATTCCAGGCCAAAATGGACACTTTTAACATTTCTTACTATATCCATATAAAATTCCCCCTCACGCTGTAATTCAGCATGAGCCAGTAGAAAGATGGTTGCTTTTAGAATTGGCTATTCTGGTTTTGTTTGTTTGTTTTTTGTGGTGAGAATGTCATAGAACCTGGGTGCTTTATGCTCATATGCCATGACTGATGTCCCACTGTGTGCAAAAAACTTGGTGAACTTGGCTTCCCACTTTTTCTTTTTCCATTGATGAAGGTCAGCTTGAGGAGGATGTATTTGTCACTGAAACTTGGAGACTGGAGGACAGTTGCCAAATATCAGGTTCCATTCCTGTAGGATCTTTCCTGTGGGCCATGAGAAAGATGCTCTTCTCCTGAACACAAAGGCAAAACAGGCTTGGACTCTGAAAAAGAGTGCATATATAGTCATCCCAATCAAAGCCACTATGGAGATGGTACAGATTGTGAGGCAACCATCAAACCACAATTCTCCACAGAATATCTTAAAAAGTAATGAAAGTTTTAATGAAAGGAAAGTGCATAGCATTAAAATTATGAAACAAAAATAAGCATCTGACTAAAAACATTAGAATAAAATAAATGTAGATAAAGCAAGAGAAAAGTGATAATAAAGAGGAAAAAATTAAAAAATAGTAAAATTGGAAAATTCAAATGCTGGCTTCTTTGTCAAGATGAGAAGAATGTAAACTAGATAAACTGGCTAGCCTGCTAGCCCTGGCTGGTGTTGCTCAGTTGGTCAGGATCAATTCCTGGTCAGGGCACATGCCCGGATTGGGGGCTCAATCCCCTAACCCTGGCAGGAGGCAGCTGCAGGTGGCAACTGATCAGTGTTCACTCTCACATCAGTGTTTCTCTCCCCCTCCCTCTCTCTCTAAAAATCAATTTTAAAATATTTTTAAAAAATAACAGGCTACCTTGCTCAAGAAAAAAAGAGAATATAAGTACACAAGATTAGAAGTATTTTTTAAAATAGAAAGTGCTTTATGAGACTATAAATAAACCAGGAATTTTTTTTAAAGGAAATCCAGTTATCAAAATGACTCCAGAAAAGAGAACCTAACATCCATTAACAATGGGAAATACTGAAAACGTTACCAAAAAGCTACCATTCCTCAAAACACCAGGCCCAGATGGTGTCACAGGTAAATTTGTTTTGTTTTTATTTAAATAAAGTTGGTATACAATGTTATATTAGTTTCAAGTGTATAATATTCAAGTGTGACTGTCTTACTAAGTCTCGTATTATGTCACCATGCAAAATTATCACAATATTATTGACTATATTCCCCTTCTAAAGGTGAATATTTTTAAATTTGAAGGAAAAGATAATTTTGATAAGATTTAAATTGTTCACCATCAGAAGGAAGGAAAAATAAGATGCTTTTTACAAAGCTAATGAAATATTGACACCTGAACTTGACATGATAGTAATAAATTGGAAACTTGTCTATGTTGTGAATAGTAATGTGAAGTTTTAAAATAAAATAATAGACCATGGTATTTAGCAATACATTAAAACAGGGGTCCTCAAACTTTTTAAACAGGGGGCCAGTTCACTGTCCCTCAGACCATTGGAGGGCTAGACTATAGTTTAAAAAAAAGAAACTATGAACAAATTCCTATGCACACTGCACATATCTTATTTTGAAGTAAAAAAACAAAACGGGAACAAATACAATATTTGTATTTGCATGTGGCCCGCAGGCCGTAGTTTGAGGACCTCTGCATTAAAAGAATATTTCACCATGGCCAAATAGGATATATACCCATATTAGAAGGAAGAGTAATTACCAAAAAGCATGCTAATAGTAGCTTATCCTTGTTGAGGACCTGTTGTGTTCTAGACTCCTCTCCTGGGTTCTTTCTATGCATTAACTCAGTTCATTAAGCACCAATATGCCATGACTGATGTCCTGGCATATAGTCATCTCCATAGTGACTATATATGTAGGTAACATGCTGATTTCATAAGTGAGGAAACAGCCTTAGAAATGTTGGGTAACTTGCTGAAGATCACACAGTATCGATATGGTGGCGCCAGGATTTGAGCCCAGGTAATTAGCTGTAACTTTTAAAAGTACATGGGTTCTGCCTCCAGTATCCACATGATCATCCCAGTTGCTTCTTAAAAGTATCTGACCAGAGTTCAAGGTGGATTCCTGATTTAGTGTTTGTGGGAAGTGGTGAAGATGGTTGAACTTTAGTAAAACAGGAATAATAGACTAATAGATTCCCTTCTCGTGTTTGAAAACTAAGAGGCCCTATTCTCAGTTGATCATTAGTACTAAAAAAAAAAGGGAACCCATTTTTTTACAATATGTTTTCTATTGATTTTTAGAAAGAGAGAGGGATAGAAACATTGATGAGAGAGGAATATCATCGGCCGCCTCCTGCACGCCCCCTACTGGGGATCAAACCTGCAACCCAGGTTTGTGCCCTGACCAGGAATTGAACTGGCCTGGCATTAGGACCCGACATAATGGTACTGTCTGCTGAGTTTCACTCTAATCTAATCCTGCGGCGTCAGTGGCATTGGTTTGGTTCTAAGTGTGGAAACGAGCCTCAGAGAGGTACTGCCATTTGCCTTTTGTCAATTTGGAACTTTGTCTCATCGGTCTGACACCGTAGGCCTTTTGTAGTCCTGATTAGACCTCATTATTGTCACTAACTTTTAAAAACAGTTGAGTAGATGGAGATAAATTTAATTGAAAAATGTAAGAAAGGAAAATACAGTGTTATTCTGAAATTAGAAAATATAAACTAATTTTAGCTTTTTATATGTATATTGATAAAAATAGGGTTTTACTATGTCATTAAGTGAAGAAGCATATGAAAAATACATAAAATCTATTGAGTGAAAATGGAACCCCCCTAAATAATGTAGTACGAAACAAAGTATCGTTGGTGTTTTTTTTTTCTGTAACATTTTTTTATTGATCAATAAAAGCATTCACTCCCTCTGCCTTCCTCTCTCTCTAAAATAAAAAAAAATATTTTTCAAAAAGTTATTCTGGCCGAAGCCGGTTTGGCTCAGTGGATAGAGCGCGGCCTGTGGACTGAAGGGTCCCAGGTTCGATTCCGGTCAAGGGCATGTACCTGGGTTGCGGGCACATCCCCAGTGGGAGATGTGCAGGAGGCAGCTGATCGATGTCTCTCTCTCATCGATGTTTCTAACTCTCTATCTCTCTCCCTTCCTCTCTGTAAAAAATCAATAAAAAATATATTTAAAAAAAAAAAAGTTATTCTGGATGCCAAAGAGCCTTTATTTATGTGGATTCATATTTGTGGTCTTAGAAATTAAAACAAAATTTAAAAACATTAATTTACTTTAAAATAGCGATGATAAAAATCGTTATATGTTAACATAAACAACATTTTCATGAAAAATAACTTGTTCAAAAAATATTGAGAAGAGTGTGATATATAGTTTTGCAAGTTTCTTTTAATGTCTGGCTTAAAAGCTAGGTCGGGTCTCATATCTGCTTCTGCATTCAGTCTGTTGTACTAGTAAGTTGTTTTGAAGTATATGCAGAAAATCCAGCAGCACATCGTATATAGTTGGAACAGGGAGGACCTCCTGGACCACAGAAAGGGCCTCAGGGACCTCCAGGAGTCCTTGGAAAAACTTGGAGAACTGCTAATCTATAAGGAGAAGTGTCCAGAAATTGGAGGAAGGTTTTGGGGGAAAAAAATCCATGTGTTTAACACTGTTTTTAAAGGCTTATTGTCATTTTATTATTTGTAGGTTAAAAAAAATCCTTCATGAAGACGACAGATCTTAAGCCACATGATGGATTCAGAAGCTCATAAAAAGAGGTCGCCAATCATAACATCTTCGAAACAAGATATATCACCTCATATTACAGATGTTGGTGAAAGGAAACATTATTTGTGTGGCTGCTGTGCAGCTTTCAGCAACGTAGCGATCACATTTCCCATTCAGAAGGTCCTCTTTCGGCAACAGCTGTATGGAATCAAAACCAGGGATGCAGTGCTTCAGTTGAGGAGGGATGGATTTCGAAACTTGTATCGCGGAATTCTTCCCCCATTAGTGCAGAAGACAACCACACTGGCACTTATGTTTGGGCTGTATGAGGATTTATCTTG